AATTGTTCAGATATGTCTAAGATAGCATTTGTTGTGGGGTTGCACTTGGAGGAGGCTAAAGCTAAGGGAGCTGTAGTTTAGAAGAGTTCATCCTTGGACAGTTCCTCTTACGCTAATTTTGTTGTATAAATGATAAGTGTTTGATTATTCTGTTAAAGGTAAAGACACTGGTGCTCGTCTTCTGTCCCTTCACCAGGGTTCCGTCGGTTTTGCAGAGTATACCATTGAGCAGCTGAATCGGGCTTAGCAATGTAGTGAAGTATGAGTTAGCAGCTAGAGATGCTTAACCATCAGGCTAAATAACTGGCTGAAGTGACAGCTTTGGGAAAGAGCCAGCTGTTCTCCTTTCTTGCTTTCCATCTCCCCAGTACTTCCAGTTTAAGGGCAAGTGGCCTGGAAGCTGAAGAATGGAGTTGGGGTCTCAGGTGGAAGGCCTGGGGACTGGACAGGAGCAGTGAAGGAGACCTCAGGTCGATGGCCTGGGGGCTGGCCAGGGTGATGAGGCAATAGGTCAGAAAAGGCACATATCACCAGACAATTCAATTCAATGACTATATTTCTTGAGGAAGCTTAAGAAGGCCAAATTCCTATTATTGTCAGTCCTTGTCAGCTTTTACAGAGGAGCAGTAGAAAGCATCCTGACTGGAAACATCACAAACTGGTATGGGATGTGCACGGCCCTGGACCATAGGGCTCTGCAGCGGGTGATAAAAACTGAGATTATTGATACCCATCTCCCAATCATCAGTGATATTGATGAGGTGAAGTGAGGTGCCTACGCAGAGCCCAAAGGATACTAAAGGGCAGTTCCAACCCAGCCACAGCCTATTCACTCTGCTGCCTTCTGTGCAGAGCAGCTTTTTCCTCCAAGCTGTCAGACTCTTAAACTCTTATTCTGTATTAATGTATATTGTCTGCTAAGTAGCAGAATGGAGTTACAAAACTCAATTTCACTCTATAACTTGTTATATTGTGACAATAAAACCTACCAAACTACCTGCCTACAATTCAGCTGCAGGTCATGGTTAGTCCTTATCCTCTGGATAAGCATCCAGCATCAGGTATTTAGAATTGGAGGCTGGCAGCTGGAGAGCAAGACCAGAGGCTGGAGTGCAGGACCAGAGGCCAGTGGCTGGGTGAGAGGCAGGTGAGCCAGCGGAGCCAGGGAAACAAGAGGCTACTGAAGCACAGTCACAGCAGATTGCTGCAGCACGGAACAAGACACAGCTGCATTTTATCAACAGCAAATGCTGCCGACTGGAGACCAGGAGCAGGTGTGGGCACCATGCCTCCTTTTGGAGACTCCACCATAGACAGTATATTACTGGACGAAGCCACCCTGCTAATTTGAATGGAGAGCAGTGAAGCCAGTTTTGGACCAATAAAATACTACTACAGGGTTACTTCCTGTTGGCACCAGTGTCTACTGCGCATGATGACGCAGCATTACCGTGGTTTAATGACGTAAAGCAACAGCTGAAACACCATAATTCTGGTAGCTGCATAGCTGCACCAACAAAAAGTTTCATGGCTCAGTGTGTTTGACTGACTCGGATCGTCCCATCCTGTGTCACTCCACAGTAATGTCGTGAAAAAGGTAGGCAGGGTTGGTGACTGTCTGCTCCATATTAGGCCAGATTGTGTTGTCATGACTGGTGCAAGCAGGATAACAAGAAACACAGGGAATAGGCCCCTTCATTAAGGAGCAGGCAGGGGGGTTATGGGAGCTGCAACCTAGTACAGTGAAAAAATAAATCAATTAAATTATTAAAGCCAAACTTCAGACACTTTAAAAGTGAATCCCTGATTCAAAAGACTTAGATAAAACATGTTGAGTGAAATCAAATTAAATAAACCACCGACTAAGGCAATAAGGGATCACAGTAAAGCTGTGCTGCGGCTGTCCATATCCTGTATAATAGTATACACAGTGAACTACATGTAAGTGTACTAATGAAAATATCTGAACTGATACTTAGTGTTATCAATTGCTAGGGCAAAAGTAGGTCCACTAAACATTTGGAAAAGGTATAACTAGTCATGTGTAAATTGAGGGACAAAAAATACATTATAAAGTTAAACAAGATGAACTTTTATTGAATCCATAACAGGCTTATTGCAGCCTTTGCAGAATATGTTAAAAAAATGAAATCAGTGAGGACACAGGTTGAAAACATTGTGAAAATGTGTCTTTAATGCTTACAGATATGCTTTGAGGACAATCAAAAAAACCTGAAATTAAAAAGAAATGATAAAACTAAATATATGGACAATACTAACATATCAAACTTGATATATATTCTCATTAACAGTAATTATACATAATGAATTGATGATACATTTTAATCAACAACTACAGTGTAAAGCAGTAAAACACAGTACAATCATATCCACTGTCCAAACTATGGTGAACTTTTGCACACCAACACTGGTAAGTCAGACGATTATATGAATGTTCATGGCCTTTGTAAAGGGTTTGCGTTGATGTGATGTAACAAAAAGTGTGTGCAATGTCAGACAGGCGAGCTATCCAGACCGTCATAATAAAGGTCATCAGGCTGACATGTTACCTGTTAAATGAAATGTTTGTGTGTGTGTGTGTGTGTGTGTGGGGGGGGGGTGCTACATGTATGCAATCCAAACATGCATCAGAAAAATAAAATAGTTTGCAAGGAAACATGACTGATTTCCTAGAACTGCAAAACACACTGACAGGCATGTAATTCTTACCATCCAATTTGAGTGACACTGATGTAGTGTGTCAAAGCACACAAATTGAAACTCATATATATAAAGTTATCCCTAATAGAGTTGAACTCAAACATTTTGAAAAGACACTGATCCCTTTCACTGTGTTTAATTTTGGAAAATTTCTTAAAAGGAAGAGTTCCACATTTTAGGAAATACATATATAGTTACACGAGGAGATTGGTGAAGCTCCTGCCAGCAGCTGTTAGCTTAGCACAAAGAGTAGGAACAGGAGGAAGCAGCTAGCCTGGCTCTGTCTAAAGCCTATCACCAGAATATCTCAAGTTTATTAACTACCATGTTAGATCTCATTTAATCCATAGTCTTTGCTGGTTGCCAGGCAACCTCACTGTGAAAGAAATACTCTAATCCTTGTAAAACCTCAATGTGTCATTTTTAAATTTTTTTGCCCATTAAATAAAAGCTATAATTAGTGATCTTTAGAGGTGCCAGTAGGATTCCATTACCTTATTGAGCTTATTGATCTTATTGAAGGAAGCATATAAGTGCATTTTGCCAATATGCCAAACTATACCTTTAAACTACTCATATTTGGCATCGGCCTCAGAGCAAGCAGGTTTGTTTGGAGCTGCCAGCTACTTGCACAAAAAATGGCATTGTGTGCCTGCCCTCCCCATCAAAAAAAAATTGCGCCGCTTTCACTGACTGAATCAGCTGTGCAGCAATCACAAACTCTACCAACACTAAATCTGTCAATTCACAGCAGGTTTAAACATTAAGAAACAAAACACTTCCTTGTTCTAGTCTGAAGCCTTCCCATTGATACCATCTTATAATTTGGTAAGGGGGCCTTCTCTTGCAACAAATTTAGTCATGTATTTAGGAAGTCAAATCTATGACAGTCCTAATTATGCCAGCTATAGTCAAAACAGGAATCCTAATCCAATTTCCTCGTGTATTTAAGTTGGTTCATATACTGAGCAAGTTTAAACTCATCACTTATGTTGTTAACTTTCATACTAAGCCAACATCCTAAACTTAAACCTTAGCCATCCTCACTCACTGTCCTCATTACAATACTGCTGAATGAAGACAATGAGGTAGGCTGTATAATCTCACAACTCTCAATGTCATTGAAAAATATGAAGGAAAACAATGTCAATAACTAAAACAAACATGAAATTCTTCATGTTCATTAGTGATGCTACCACATCTTAGGCCACAAACACTTAGGTTGTCTTGTACTAGCATTTAAAACTATACACTGTACTAGGGCTGTCCCCAACTAAGGATTTATATAGTCGAATCAGAATAGTTAAGATATTCAAATCATGTCTGTTTTTGTGCATGGCGATTACGAGCCGAAGCTAAACTGAGGCATTGTTGACCATTTTCTCTCTCTCACCTGCCATTCACCGGTCTTGTGCAGAGTTTTGGCCGTGCTGCCGACAAGTGCATGCACGTCGCGGTTCATCGCGGGTCTATTTCAAGTAGCTGGCTATTTAAAAACGATATAATATTCTTTGTGTGGTTCATCAATCGTGATAAATTACCCGAAAGTCATGCGAGGTGCAGACAACTCGGCACAACACTGAAGCGCCGTTTCTTCAGCAAGTTTTCCTCCTGCCACTACATACACGCTTCGCCTACACATGCACACTGATGACCCAGGGTTAGGGTTACAATTTTGGATTTAGGGTTACAATTTTGGATTTATTCACGCACTTTTAATTTATTCGAAGTTTTTTTTTTCTTTTTACATGTTTATTTACAGCATTAAACGTTGATATGTTTATTGTATTAAGCTGTATATTAACTTTTTGGGAGAAAACTGGTAATTCTACGTAAAATCAGACGTTGAGCACCCTCATATCGCCAAAATGGCATGATCCTTGTTTCTCTGCGAAGCTTCGACTGTGAGATTGACAGTCGAATCAGGCTCCGCCCACCGAAGCATCGAATCTTCGACTATTGGGGGTCAGCCCTACACTACATGCATTATATGGTATATTTGCCAAACTGTCACTGCACGAACATCACTTTAAATGTAAAGCTGTAGGATGAGACATTACTATCGTTACCTGACCTAATGTTATTCAAGTATAAACTGGTGATGGTTGTTCATATTATAACAAAGCTATAGTCAGGATCATTGACCTTTCACATGAACAAACAGCAGCTGAAGTTTTTGGAACAATATCTATGTAAAAAAGAAGTGTACTGCTCTAACGCAATTTGGTCCTGTACAGATGCAACACAGGACATAGACAATGGAAAATCTGTGTCATTCATTTGCACTATACAATGGTATTGCCTTCCTCAAACACTTTAAATAGTGCTCTCCTTGTCTGTGTCTTTGTTTTTGGCAATGTTGATGGAGGCGTGTCCATTGCCCACGCTGTTACCCTCCAGTCCATTTTCTTTGGCCTGATTCCTCAGTGCTAACTTCTTCTGTCTCTTTACAATTTTGTAGTAGAGGCCTACCCACAGCATGTTGGCTAGGAAGTAGAGTCCAGTAATCAATCCCATGAACGTCATTCTGTAAGTAAAGTACAGTGGAATAGGTTAAGTTTTGTGCATAAGTGCATTTATTTGAAATGCTTAATCTGAGGTCTGTGAAAACTGAAATGTGTAATAAATGTAACAATCCAGTAGAAACTTTAGAAATCCAATGGATATACTGTATGTATGTTTTAAAACACCTCTGAAGCTCATTAATTTTTTTATAATGTGTTACACAGTACAAAGTATTCCTCGTTCATATATTTGTTAGTTAATATTATGTGTCTGGTTTTACTGTACCTAAATGCGTTAGCATCATAGAGTCTACATGCTCCACGGCCTCCACATTGCTTGGTACCCCACTTCAAACAGGTTTGGTCAATCAGTGCTCCAAAATATATTGGAGGTGGTATGCCACCTGAAAACACAGTCACACGTGCTTACACATTAAAAGAGCCAAACAGTAATTGCATTAATCATTGCTGTCGGTATAAGAATCGCTCTGTGAGTTAAATACAATTTACAGTAAATAAAACCATAAAATATTTGGTACTCACCCAGAGTTCTTACTATCAGCGTTTGCATACCCAAAGCCAGTGACTTCAGGTCTGGCTGTATGGATCTGGAAGATTAAATATCATATCAGCTTTTTAGCTTTAAGAATACACAAGCTGCATTACTAACTATAATAGTGTTACAGGAGCAGCTCACACAAAGTCCCCATTTTGATGCTTGCTGCCATAAAATCACTTCATGTGTCAAAAATCAATAAGACACTGCAAGGCGTCCTTAACACCCAGCCGTAAAAGCTTGTGTGTGTCTGACCTGAGCAGTACGATGTATCCTGGCGTGCCCCCACAGGCAGAAATGAAGGACCCCACTACAGACAAAGCCATGAAGATTTTAAATATATGATCACAGTCACTCTTCCTGGGGCACTGGCCCAGCACCGTGGACATGTTCATGATTGGAGTCATCATCTCCCCAACACAGGTACAGTTATGAAACACCTAAAAAAACACAAACAAAAAAAAATGTACCTTTGACTGGGCTGTAGGTGGGTTGTGCGCATTTGTTCTCTTTTCTTTTCACATTTGCCTCTTTGAGAAGAGTTTGGTTTCCAAAATTCAAGTACTAATTATCAATTTATATTTGTCTGATATGGATTCCTGAGCACATTCCTGTTCCCAGAGCAACATCTCCTTTTGATATGAGTGACCCAATGGTGGTTTCTCTCATGCCACCCTTTGGAATAAGTACTCCTGAGGCTCCAAGAATAGCAAAATTCTCAGTATTTGGTATAGTATGTCTTCCATCCAGTGCTATGATGAGGTGTAATGAACATGGTAGTCTCTAGGAGCTATATCAACACTGATAGTATGAGATTTATTTTAGATCACTTTGTGATGTACAGTCTACAAGTAATTGTTTGATAATGTAATGCATCATTTTGGGGACATTTTTAGGAATCTTCAGACTTCCCACAGAGAATTTGCCCAAATCAAAGCTTGGATTATGGGCTTATACTTTAAATAAATAAAGTCTAAACATGTCCATCTGGTTAAAATTAATTCTGGTCTTTTAAGGCCACTTGTCAGAGCAGAAAATGGTATCATTGCTGTGTCCCTCCCTTTTTTCACCTCTTTTTCTGTACGATTACTCAGAGAAAAATAAACACAATATATGACTTTGCGAGACTTAAAACACAACCATTTAGCAAGAAGTTTCATGAAATGACATGTACAAAGAGCTGTTGTTTGCCTGTGTTATGCTGAGTGTGTCGCAATCTACCAGTTGTATCTGTTTTTATGAAGGAATGTAAGTTGCCGTCTTACAATTTCCTTGCCAGTGCCGGTGGATGTCCGACAGCCAGCCAGGCAGGGCGAGGCATATGTCATTCCGTTGTAGGAGCATACTGGATCCCAATGCTTGATTGAGCAGGAGCAGCCCATGTTGCACTGGGACAGCAAAGTCTGTTGGTTGTAGGACACTTGAGGAGCCCTGGTGCACACAGACATGAAGAGACACATGAGTAGGGGACATTGGTCCAGTGAGGCATTAACTTTCCAGGGAGATCATTCTAAACTAATGATGAAGTAAAAAAACGTGTCAGTTGCAAACTTTGCCAGTAATTAAGCCAATTTTCTTTCTTCATATTTTGAAGTAGTTTGAACCAATAATTTGGGAGAAAATAACGTCAGTCTGCAGAAATATTAAAAGCAAAAAACAACCAACATCAAAAAACCCCAAAACCTAATGTTAGGAAACTTTGCAATGCACCTTTAACTACTATTTTCATGCATGCCACTTACCCCTGATATGAGACTGTAAGACCTCCCACCTCTGCATTGTCACAGTGGATGAAGACCTTAACGCAAAACAGGCAAAAGGACCCGAGGGAGGCAGCGATTGACACCCTGGCTGCTCCGATGACACCCAGCTTGAAACGTTTCAGTATAAAACCTCCAGTGATGATGCCCAAAGCTACTGCTGGCAGGTTTAGTATACCTGGATGGATGAATAAATGGACTAATGAACGGACAGATGAAATGGAACCACACACTGGAGATTCTATAAAATGAAAATGGCACACCGATCACAAGGCCACACGTGCCATAAACATTTGGTAACACAAGCACGGGAGCTTTTGAAGGGTAAGAATATAAAGGCACTTAGTTATTGTCTGCTAAATGCCGTAAATGTAAATGAATTGGGGAATTGGGAGACAATGTCATAGATGCCTTTGAAGATATGTTAGACTGTTATATTAGTTTAGCCCTCAACTTTTTTCATCTAATGTACTCCACAGCCCCATCCTTGAAATCAAATACCTCTTTCATCCACACAACCTGTTATGTTCCAAATTCATTAGAAATAATTTGAACTATGTTTTTATTACATAAGTGGATTGCATTGCAATATTTTTAACAATATCCATCAACTGCTAAGTTTGCATCAATACCACTTGGAGTGGCAGAAACTGGACATTTCTGCCATTTATCTATAACCATCAACATGTTACTTTCAACAAACTGTGTCAAGTGGCCATTACTTTGAGTTAATTATTCTATCCAATTTTACTATTGACCCAATACCTTTAGCTATGTAGTCCAAAACCTATTGCTTTTAGCTAACTATTTTAATCATTAACCAATACCTTTAACTATTTTAACTATTTATCAATTACTTTTAGTTATGTTTCAACCATTTGTTCATTCATTTGCTAACTCAAGCACTCTCATTTGCAACATTCCTCAGGTGTTGCAGCTGCTCTAATGTGTGGATTTTTTAAATATCTCATTCTTTCAAAAAAAAACAACAAATATTTGAGCTCCTCCACAACCTTTCTTCATATCAAATGGATTACAAGTACCCCGGGCTGGATCAATTAATGACTACATTTATGGTGGCTTCATGTGCTGATAAGAGACTGTTCCTGACATAACCAACCAAACAGTGCATTCGAGAGCTATGTTGTGAGAAAGTAAAATCCATAAGACATAATAAACTTTGTCCATTAAAAATGGTTATTTTTAGAAGATAATTGTTGCTGTTCCAATGTTACATGTCACAATAGTAGGTGATTGTAGACAAATTACTTTAAAATATGAATATTCCAACTATACCACTGTCAGCTAGCCAAGCTAGTAAACAGTCATAAAAAGCTAAATATAGCTCAGGGTGCTATGTTACAGAAATACACAAAAGAGCCCACAGTGGGCTACTAACTGCATACATTTTAAGTCGACTTAATCTCTCGCAGTCACACTTCCCTTTAATAATATCATTGTTTCAGCTGCTTTGGGCTACAAAGTGCAGTGAATGCAGAATGAGTGGGGGTCAGTTAATGCTCTGTACCTATGAGGAAGATGGCCTTGGAAGCTGATTGGCCATAGACTTGCTCCAAGAACTTTGGCTTGAAAGTGATCATGCCTATGAAGCCGTTGACAGCCACCAGGTAGGTGAGGATCATCATCGAGTAGATGCTGTTCTTGAAGAGTCTCCTCAGAGATGGAATGAAATCTGGTGAAGAACAAAGCGCAAAGAGAGATCACAGCAAAGTACTTTTATTGAGTTAATGGTAATGTTGAAAATGTTCTATTTTATACATATAATTTATGTACATATACTACATCTATAAAAATTCACAATGCAAATTATCCACATATATTTAGTAATGCATAGTTATATATTTTTATATTTACCAATATTACCTTATCCAACACATTTTTTAATTTAACTGGCACACTAATTTTCTTGGCATTTTAAGCATGTTGTCTCCATGAGCTTCCGCATCATATATTCATGAAACAGCATATTACATAACCTCAATTTAATTCATATTTTTTGTTTTAGATTAAATTTTTATTGTCTTATTTGAACCATTTTGTTATTTTTATAGTTCTCTTTTGCAGCTTTTTGGAAATAATACCACTTTTATATTATAATTTACAAAAGTGATTATTTCGTTGGAAAGACTGCTAAATTGGTCTGATAATGTTTTGCAATGTATTATGGCTTGACTGGGTCTTAGCTTAAGTAACATTTTTCTGGGCCAGACATGGTTAATGATTAAACACAGAGTGACCCACTGGTTAGTGTATAACATTTTTAGATGTTTAGGGCGTTTTTTTGTTTTTTTCATTATTTATGCTGCTACCCATCTTGGCCAGGTCACCCTTGAAAAATAGATTCTTAATCTCAATGGGTTGAATAAAGGTTATAATAAAATAATTTTAAAAATTAGTGCTAGTTAAAAGCATTATTATTATTATTAAGTAATTTTTTGGTCAAGGATTATATGATGACAGGTCCTTAAATGCATCATATTGCTTGATGGCGTTTTTTGCTGATGCAAGCACTCGGCTGGTACCTTTAGCCAACTCCTGGAATGAAACAGGCTTCTCCTTCTCCTCATGATCCTGGTTATCCTCTTGCAGGAAATTCTCATGCTCTGCCACTGTAGCGAGCTCTGTGCTTTTACTCTGCTTCTGCCCCTGCTTGGGCAAAGACTTGGGCAGGAACCAGAATGGGATACTGGACAACAGGATCACAGCGCCAGTCACTATGAAGCCCAGCCACCAAGCTCCCACCCAACGAGAGTCCTTGTAGTTGATGGAGATGCTGTCTGGGAGAGGGAAGACGAGCAAAGACAGCACATTATGAAGGAGGTTGTGTTTATAGGACTGTCTTTGCTTACCCCTTATTCTTTTCGTCATAACATCTTAGACACAGCTTAGCAGGAGGATAGAAACTGTCTCTCTTGCTGAGGGACTGTCAATGGCTCTAATCCATACAATAGTGAACTAGTCCTACAGTGTCAACAGGATGAATGTTGGGAAATCCTCTCTGGAAGATTTGTAACAACAACCTTGTTATGTAGGTTCAAAGGGAGGAAAACCTGTTTTGCTGAAGAGAACTTTGATGCCACATTTCAACAGAGGGGTTATGCGTAATAGGACCGCACGCAGCCTATTACTCGATATTTGTCTATCAATCAAGGGTAATAGTGACTTAAGGGTAATAATACAGGAAACATTTTCTAAAAAACAGTACAGTCTGCACGTTGTGCCACATTATCACATCTATAAGTTCAATACCTAAATCCACAAATCCAACGTCCACGTAGATCTTGGCAAGGAATGACCCGAGCATAAACCCAAACATAGGTCCTAAAATTCCCACAGTGTGGATGCAGGCTGTCAAATGGAAAAACAGAGATGTATTCTTATTATGTGGCATTTATCAATAGGATAGGCACGCAATAAAGCAACAAAACACCAATACTGGGACAGTGAGTAAGTTAGCAGAGTAAAATATCAGTGACTGAAGATGGAAAATAATGTAGGCAAGCTCTGAAGCAGCATACAGTAACTAGCCCAAACAGGAAACTATGTAATATAGTATAAACTATCACAGGTGTAAAGTGTGTAAAATGAAATAAAACGGACGGTAGAAAGTAAAAACGAACAAACCCAAATAGAAAGGAGTGTTCTCTTCTCTGGAGAAGTCATCCAGGTAGGACACACCCAGAGGCATGATGGGAGTCTCTCCAATCCCACGCAGAATGTTTCCCAGGAATACATAGATCCACAGGGACGAGCCGGCTGCCTTTTCACAAGCTGAGGGAGGCAAACTTGACTGAAACTGGAACGCAATATTGCAAATTCTTTCGAGAGCATTGCTCATCTCCTGCTTCTTTGAAGTGATTTAAGTGTCATATCCAACATGTGACTGAAAACGTAAATCTGAAAGATCTAGTGTGAAATGCAGCGAACGTGTTAGTCACATACCTTTTCTGGCCTCTAAATCAGGCGTCTCGTCTGCAACAAGAGTGTGGTTGGACAGACAGGGCAGGGTGCTCTCAGTGCTGTTGACATCTGTACGATGAGACATACTGGTCTCATATTTATACCTGGGAAAAATTGAGAATTATTACACAATGGTACATTTTAAGATTTTTTTCTGAAATTTACAGATACAGCATATTAAAAGACCACAAAAAAGTTCAATAGTGAATGCATTAGTGTCTGTAACATGGCATGTGGAGTTTTAGACTATACGTTTGAATATTTTTTGGAGGCAGAGGTACATAGTAGATTGATCATTTTACAACAAGATTAAGATGTAGTTCCCTTTATGCTATTCATAAAAACATCACATACAAAAATATATATATCTATATATGCACACAATAGATGGGTGAATGAATAAGTCAAAGAAATAAAATAATTTTACATGGTGGAGTGCTGAGGATGAATTTAGGAGTCTCAGACTGGGGGAAGAAGCTGCTCTGGTGTCTGGTGGCACGACAGTGAATACTTCTGTATCTCTTGCTGGACTGCAGCAGCGTGAACAGGGTGTGGCCATGGTGGGTACTGTTTTTTTAGCATCCTATCTTTAGGCCTACAGCATGTCACTCAAGGAAAACATGCCACATGTTGAAACGTACTGTATGTGTCCTTAAATACAAATATCTCCTTAACAACAGCAGGGCTGAATTAACATATGGACAAAGCAGGTAAAAGCCTCAAGGCCCCAAACACCCAAGGGCCAAAAAAGGCCCAGAGTTTAGAGTTTTAACTTTTATTTGAACTCATATTAAACAACATCGTATGTGTTGCTAAAGTTAATAAAATTACTGTAAACGCATTTACACAGAGGAAACCTGTGTGTGCATGTAGTTTGTATAGGTGACTCAATAGCAGATTTTTTGCCCTTAGGCCCCAAACAGATTATTCCCACCATGTGCATACTGGATTAAGTGAAATTGCTGCAATTTCATCATATTATATACCTCATGTCTGACCTTCAGTCTAATATATTGTACCTAGAGTTACACTAGTCATTTGACTCTTCCCGCTGTAGTTCAATTAAATGTCAAGAGCTTCTGCCTCCAAGAACTGATTTTAATTAAGAATCTGTGTCATTACTGCTATATATACCATTACACACAGTATTATATAGTACATATTACAGTATTATATACAAAATCTGAATATCAAGAAGATAAAGGAAACGGTGTACTAACAGTCCCTGTAAGAAGTGAGGCAGGGCTATGAGGAAAGATCCAACAGCCATGATCAAACAGCCAATCGCGATCAGCCTTGGACGATGGAGTTTAGCACCAAAGTAGCTCACAAAGGTTATTACCAACACGTTGCCTGGGAAGGAGAAGAATTAACAAATAAGTTAATGAATCATTGGCTTAAAGGAATTGGTTGACATTTTGGAAAATGTACATATTTACTTTCTTGCAGAGGGTTGTGTGATTAGATAGATGCTACTCTAATGTCTTTATGCTAAATATGAGGCTAGAGTCAGTAGACTGTTAGCATGACTTAGCATAGCCTTGAAATGGGGAAACAGCCAGCCTGGCTCTGTCCAAAAGCAACAAAATCTGCAAACCAGCACCTCCAAAGCTCATGAGTTATCATTCATTCGATAAGTCATTTGATAAGTTTACATCTAATTTATTAAATCCACAGATTTTATTTAGTTGTCTATGGACAGCGCCAATCTAGTTAGACTGTTTCCAGTATTTGTGCAGTTCACTGGCACTATAGCTTCATATATAGTGTACAGACATGGGTGGGATCAATCTTCTCATCTTTCTCGGCAAGAAAGGGAAAAGGTGTATTTCCTAAAATATGAAACTTTTGGAAAACAAACAAGTGGGAGGATTAGTGCATTCATCCACTACATCAATCCAATATTAATTTGGCATTTTCAAAATAATTATTTAGAATACCGATATGTGATGTAGCAAAAAAAAAAAAAAAAAAGACAGACATGTAACTGTCCAGAATCTTTCCTAAAACTGCACGTACCAATTTCAAAGCTGCCATCTATAACCCCCATGAGGGAGCTGGGGATATCGAAGCGCCTCTCGATCTGGGTGATGGAGCTCTTCATATAGGCTCCACCGAAGGCTTTAGCAAAGTATACACATGCCATAGAGAACAGGAAGAGCTGGAGACACAAACAAGCTGTAGGGTTAAACTGTTCTCTAAAACAAGAACAGTAATTGTTTTTAATTTGATTTGATTATGATACTGATTTTCTCAATCTTTAAATTGTGAACATGAGTTGTAGCCTATTACCTTGGTAATAATCTCTTCTCAAAGGCTTCAGAGTGAGAGGATTAATCTACTTTTTTTTGCAGTTCAGTGGTGCAATGAAAGGTTTTGGAAGGAGTTTTTTTCCCCAATACAAAAAGGACAAAAGGCTATAATTGCATCTTACACAAGTGTTAAGGGAAATGGTGAAGGACTAGTGTCACAACTCTCATAATAGATTAGGCTCACACACAACACCACATTTAAAGACCTACAGTACTTCAGACCAGCTTTCAACATTGATTGGATTTACATTAATTTACATTAGAAGTAAACTAATGTAAATGAAGGTAAATCAAATCAACTAAAACAATCTAGTATAGTAAGTCTTACTCTTGTCATTTCCCATCATGTTTGTGATGGACAAAGAACATGGATTTTGGAATCACAGGAAACAAGATGTCAAATCTCTCAACCAAGCAAGTTAAACACTATATTCCTGCAAAGACATCTTCTGGAAATTAAAGGAAACAATACTTAGTGAAACCTTCTATTTCACTAATTGATTTGGAGTTATTTTGCTTTACATACTGTACAACTGTTTAATTTTACACAAGACAAGTTAATTTAATATTTTTAATATTAGTTCTTGCATGCAGCCACATCCTTGCCACAAAGTTAAAGATTAAAAAGGGATGTAAGCCTGGATGTAGATCATAGAACATTCTGTGAATTTGGTTAAACGACTAACTACTTGCCTAATAGTTAAAACTCCACAGGTAAACAAAAGGTTCCTCCAGAGTTCAATACTTTTTTTTAAACAAGCAAAGAGGTTTCGTGGTTCACTGAGGGAGACTAGTTACTTTTTACAAGAAATCAACCAAATACGAATTGCAACTGAGAGCTGATTGCTTTTTAAAATCAGAATTAAAATCGTTTCAAGATAAAGTCGACAAAGTGAACCAATAAAACACAACTGTCACATGGTATAAATATAGGTCACTGCAACCATACCACTGTTTTTCTTCCTGAAAAGCCCTTCAAGTGCCACTTTAAGGACTATCAACCTTCTATCTATACACGCGTCTGATTAACACTCATTAAAAGCTCTGTTCCTCTTCCACGAGCAAGAGAAAAAACACTTCATTCATATGGCATCAAAGTCTCAAAGTTTTAACTGGTCGAGAAAAATATGTTTGTTAATATTTTGCATTTTACTGTCTCATAAGGTGTAGCATTTGTCAGGCACAGATGATACTGACATTAGAATGTCATACCAATACACATATAGAGCTAAGGTTAAAGAAAAACAGTTTTACAGCTTTTACAACTTGGCACTATCCCAGGTTTTTAGATGTTTGAATCCATTAGTGTTCACAACCATGGATTTGTGTGATAAAGACCATACATGAAGCAGATGGCAATGTTCCCCAACACCTTGTAATGCAGGTAAAGTGTAACATTTCACTGACCTTGAGCTTGGAGCAACAAGCCTCACGTGTTTTTTTGGACTCTACACTCATGATGCTCCTGCAATAAACGGATCTGCAGAAAGAAAGACACCAATGTTACGAACACATCAAAATTTTGGGCAAATAATGTTCATTTCACCTGATTTTTCAAATAGTTTTACTCCAAAATATGCCAAATTAAAAAAATTACTTTCTTTCTTCTTACCAATTTCTTCTAGACAGATTAATATAAAGAGTTTGTCAATGTATGTAGCAGTGTAATTTTAAATTGACTGAAATAAGAAATTACCATCATGTCATACATATACCGGTTATATACACTAACACACCAGTAAAAGGTATACTTTTCCATCTTAGAGGGGAACTGTGCAAATTAATAGTGAAAAACAAGAAAAAGTAGTTTACCTGAAAAGCAGCAGTGGTCCTGTGATGGACTGGAAGGTTATGGTGATGTAGCTGTAGGCGTGTTGTACCTGGCAGGACTTTGTGCTTAAAGCAAGAGTCTTATCACAAATAAACTATAACATCACCTCTAATCAGTAACCCAGCCACTCATGTGAACTCGTTGATCATGTCAATAGAAAGCCCTCCAACCCCTCACTCATGCAGACACACACCCAAATGTGACTGCCCTGGTTGGGTAAGGTCCAATGGGATGGATGTCCTGACCAGCACCGGAAGGGTTCAGGTTCACTGAATGCAAACACACTCACAGTCTGCGCACACTCGCACATCCTCCTCTGTGATCATCATAAGCCTCCCGAGTATCCATCCTTTTGAACGCACAACAAAAAGCAGCAGCATGAAGCTGGCCAAAGCTTATTTTACAAGCCTGCTGTTTCTGTTAGTTTGCCGTTTTCAAAGTATGAAATTCTTTCCTCTCCTGGAAAAAGTCAGTTTTTGTAAGGCTGGGTGTTTCCTAGGCCTGATCAAAGTCTTCCTGTCCCATTGATAGCCACTAACAATGGCTTTTCACTGTCGCACATCACCTGATTACACTTGTTCTGAGATACTCCATACTCCCGATTAGTTCCTGACAGATTTCAAATTAAGCACACCATAGAGGTTTGAGAACATTTTGACATCAGAAATGTCAACTGCACCTCGGCTGCTCCTGATCAACATGGGACAACTTGTCAGCTGTGTTTCATATGTGTTGCAGTAATGACAGCTTATTTTAGTAAAGAAGAACAGTATTCATGTTACTGTAGGTAATACACAGAACACATTGTCAATAGTTTTCAGAGGGAATTTCTTTCGTAAAAAGTTGTTTCAACCAGTAAGTTGCAGAAAGATAGTGATTCTGGAAAGAGATCATTTTTCAATGTCATTTCTCAACGCTATAGTATATATTGCCTTTACTGTGGTACTAAGGCAGAAATCTCATACAGTACAGCATCCCAAAACCTGGGCAAATAAAACCCAAGACTACCTCCATGGCTTGACATCACTATTGAGAAGCATTTGTTATTTGCATGAAACAACCCTTTAACTTCTGGAAGACTTGGGAATAGGAGTGATCACAGCCGGAGCAGTGTGGCTACCAATATATACTTAAGGTGTGAACTGCACAGAAAGACACATACTACAAACTGGAGATTAGCAAATGATTAATTTTATTTTCTTATTAGAAATCTATAAAATCTGAATACATTAGAATTTGATTTGGAAATCTAATGGACACATTACAGCATTGTTTATTCTTGGCTCTGGCCTGTGCCGTCAGTACTTTTCAGCACTGGTCACCACAGCCTCTGCACTCACAGCTGGTGACATGCCTGTAAGAGAAGAATCTGGTCGTGAGGTCGAAGCATTGCAGGGTCACAGATCTCCTCTCGGAGCTCCGCTCCTCACAGCATCAGTGCTTCTGCTCCACCTGCAGGTCACCCTGTAACACGACCCTGTTGCAGTGACAGTACCGGAGGGGAGGAGAGTGGGAGCGGGTGGGGAAAGTAAAAATTTAGGAAAGTCTTGTCAAAGAGACAATGAAACACCTATTGTTGAGTTCTCACTGAACACTAATCTTCAAAATGTGTTAATGTTACTGCTGATCAGTGATCAGGTATAATTCTTCTCACCTGGGTTCAGACATGCATTGGCCCTGACACGCAGGCATCTGCATGATGGTGGTACAGTTGTCTACGGTGACGTTAATACTGGTCACCTTCGGAGCACAGCTTTGGTTACCTGCAGTTAGAAATTAATTAAAAATTAATACGTGAGGAAGAATCATTGTCTGTTGGACAGACTCTAGTCTCAGTCTTAATACCCTCTTTGCTGCAACTGAATGAAATGCAGGAATGTCAGCAGTTGTTGACTTCAGTATTTTGACCTAAACACAGTTCGTCATCGACAAGACACTTTACAGTACAGTGATTCATTTAAATCCAAAATGCACTTTTCCTCTAAAAGGAGGACACTTTGTTATGTAAAGATTATAATGAGATTGGACACAACATACCTTGTATGTTTTTTCATGATATCTGCATGTCTTCTCAACTGAAAAATAACACATGTAGTAATAAGTGTCTAGGTACATAGTATTTGTACATGAAAAGGCGAGTCCAGTTCTTACCACAAGTCTGATCACCACAGCAAGAGATGTTTACCAATACTGCATCAGGGCTACATATGGGAGCTGGCTCAGGAGGTTTTGGAAGACACTCCTCTGTCCGAGTCTGGTTGTTACATGTACACAGGTTACAGCCGGACTGCCACACCTCACCAGGCTGGAAGACATGCATGGAAATACTTTCTTAAAATCTAGAATCCAGTCTTACTATCTTCGCACTGATGAGAAAGATATTTACCAGTCTGGGCTCACCAAGTGGTCCTTTACAATCTGGTGGAAGAAAACAAACACTACATTAACCCCATTTATAACTAAATATTGAGATGTATAACTCCTGCACATGATCTGTAAATAAGAAGCTTTGCCAGTGCATCAAAAAGTATTGCACTGCATAAGATATCAAGCAAAGTGTGTCTAGGTGGGTCTACTGTAGGACATGTTACTCACACGGACAGTCAGACACACAGATGTTTGAGTACGGTCCTGCCCTGAACTGGCCGCTGGGACAGAAACAGCCTATGGCGTTCTTCTCAAGGACGGCTCCTGGATAAAGTGCTCTGTACAGCCAAACCAGAAGAGAAAGAAATGGGGAAAATCTTGACAGGACAGAAAATCTTGAAACAAATGTGCAATGATGGAAAAAGCAGACTTTACAAACCTTCCATCGCAGACGTCATCCAGCTTGTTTTGACATTCTCTGAAAACCAATCCTTCTGGACACGGCACATCTGAAACAGTGCATTTTAAGGAGGAATTTATTGTCTTGTTGTGCAAACACAAACTGACTGGCTTTGCTTTACAGAGTATAAAAAATACTTACCACACCTTCCATTAGTTAGATTTCTCCAGTCAACACAGAAACCAGCATTTTTGCACTCGTCAGCAGCTTGCTCTAGTGAAGAACAAGGGCCACTCCTGCATGAATCAAACTCACAGTTGCTCTTCTTAAGGATCAGATTCACATAAGTCCTGCATTCTGAAAAGACTCTGAGGAAACAGAAGAGATAAGACAGATACATTTTTTTATTCAGTAGTTCAGGAATAGACAACTCAAAACATACAGAGAGATTTGCTTTTATGACCTACAGTACAACTGTAGTACATATGTACAAAACACTTATTCCCAATTCTATCACCTATTCCCTCACAAGGTCTGTGTGTGTTCGTGCAGCTTACGGATGGTTTAGCAGCTCACATAGTCGGCTCCCAGGACAGGACGTGGTGGCAGTGGGGGTGTTAGTGGGTGGAGGAGTGGTTACTGGGTGACAAGGTACGTTCCTTGGTGCAGAAACACAGGCTGGCTTCAGCGGGTCAGGATAAACCCAGTCATAGGCCGTCTTATCACAGCAGCTGTCGTCCTCAATCTGGCCTCCTTTACGGACACATGATCCAACGCCACATACACCTGGAGGGTAGATTGAGAGGTAAGCTTCAGCAAAAGAAGATGTCTGATTTAAAGTCTATTATACACAGATTTTAATTGAAAAACACTCATTCCAAGCTATGCATTAGTTTTAACAGTGAGGATGGCAGCATCTCATATATCTTAACTATAGCTGGCACCCTCATGGTCCACAAAAGAATTGGCTCAGCACAAATTCCTAAATATACAGTAAGTAAGAAAAACATTCCCATAACATTATATATTTAAATCATCTGATGAAGAAGATCTATTTTAAAATCTAAGTTATTGCCACACAACCAGCTGGTCTTAGTTTTTTCAGAAATTTGATATCAAAAGGTGCAGATTTGAATTGCTGTTTCATTCTGCCCTGTATTGGTCAGAAATTTTTAATGCAGCTTCAAGATTAACACACTTTTTGCGTATGTTAGCCTACAAGCTAATTCAGCAAAGCAGCCGACAGAAGAGTGACAGATGAGATAAAGATAATAGGTTTACAAAAAATGTTTTGCATTACCTGGAAATCCACTCTACACAGACAACACATACTGTGAAATTGGATATACAGCATGCACTTAACACAGGTGGACCCTCCCTTTCAATCCATTACCCACCACATTGTCCTTGGGTGTTGTTGAGGAAGTGCTCCATGGCTAGACTGGCCACCAGGGTATAATACGGACTGAGGGAGACATAAGAGCGGATCTCTGGGAGGTAGATAGACACCATGTACCCCGTGGTCTCAAACCTCCACCCAGGTGTCTCATATGGCGGCTTTATGGCGGCATTGTTCAGAGTGGCCTAGGGCACAAGTATCAAAGCAACTGTCTTATCCTTTCTATAGTGTATGGCAGCCTTAAATAGCTTTATGTAAAGATATCCTACATCACAGAAAATGATTCTCAGCATCTATGTTGCAAAATATGTACACAGTGACATGACATACTATAAATAAATTGAAAGCTGCATTATATCCTACCTGTACTGCAAACAAATCTGAATTGATAGTGAGTGTAGCAGTACTGTTCTGATATTTCAGGATGATGCCTTTAGCACAGGAGCCTTCGATGCCTGGCACAGTCGAAGTTGTCAACAGCAATGGTCAGATTATGGAGTGGTGACCGCTCCATCAGGATGTAGGTGCAGTTGTCCATGAAATTGAAGTTTACTCCTTGGAAAGAGATGTAGTGGGGATCCCCATATAGCTCACAGCGACCTTGGGACAGAATGGGGAAGTAGGAGATGATTGTAGTAGATATGGACCAAAAACGATAACGGCAAATATTAAACACAAGAGGCATGATAAATGAGGTTCTAACAAGACCAGTGGCAGAGAGACATGAATGCACTTACAGTCACACTTCCATGCTTCACAGCATCCATCCTGCACTTTTGTTGTCAGTTGTCTGGGGCAGATGGGAATAGTAGGCTCAGGACAAACCACTGGAGTCGACTCAATTGTTCCATTTCTACAGGACTTATCGTAGCAGTCCTCTGTCCACTTCTCACCATCACACCAGGTTTTGTTCCGCTTCAAGTCTTTACACCCACTACACACTGCTTTGAGAAACACAGCAGAAGACAGTAAACAGAA